GATTAATCTTACTGCACTGTGGTCAGAAAAGATGACTGGAATGATTTCAGTTTTTTTGAATTTACCAAGACTAGATTTATGGCCCAGGATGTGATCTATTCTGGAGAAGGTTCCGTGTGCACTTGAGAAAAAGGTGAAGTTGATTGTTTTGGGGTGAAACGTCCTATAGATGTCAATAAGGTCTAGCTGGTCCATTGTGTCCTTTAAAGTTTGTGTTTCCTTGTTCATTTTCTGTTTAGTTGATCTATCCATAGTTGTGAGTGGGGTATTTAAGTCTCCTACTATTATTGTGTTACTATTAATTTCCTCTTTCATACTCATTAGCGTTTGCCTTACATATTGTGGTGCTCCTATGTTGGGTGCATATATATTTATAATTGTTATATCTTCTTCTTGGATTGATCCTTTGATCATTATGTAGTGTCCATCTTTGTCTCTTTTCACAGCCTTTATTTGAAAGTCTATTTTATCTGATATGAGTATTGCGACTCCTGCTTTCTTTTGGTCTCCGTTTGCGTGGAATATTTTTTTCCAGCCCTTCACTTTTAGTCTGTATGTGTCCCTTGTTTTGAGGTGGGTCTCTTGTAGACAGCATATATAGGGGTCTTGCTTTTGTATCCATTCAGCCAGCCTTTGTCTTTTGGTTGGGGCATTCAACCCATTTACATTTAAGGTAATTATTGATAGGTATGGTCCCGTTGCCATTTATTTTGTTGTTTGGGGTTCACGTTTATACCACCTTTCTGTGTTTCCTGTCTAGAGAAGATCCTTTAGTATTTGTTGAAGAGCTGGTTTGGTGGTGCTGAATTCTCTCAGCTTTTGCTTGTCTGTAAAGCTTTTAAGTTCTCCTTCATATCTGAATGAAATCCTTGCTGGGTAGAGTAATCTAGGTGGTAGGTTATTCTCTTTCATTACTTTAAGTATGTCCTGCCATTCCCTTCTGGCCTGAAGGGTTTGTATTGATAGATCAGCTGTTATCCTTATAGGAATCCCTTTGTGTGTTATTTGTTGTTTCTCCCTTGCTGCTTTTAATATTTGTTCTTTGTGTTTGATCTTTGTTAATTTGATTAATATGTGTCTTGGGGTGTTTCGCCTTGGGTTTATCCTGTTTGGGACTCTCTGGGTTTCTTGGACTTGGGTGGCTATTTCCTTCCCCATTTTAGGGAAGTTTTCAGCTATTATCTCCTCGAGTAACTTCTCAGGGCCTTTCTTTTTGTCTTCTTCTTCTGGGACTCCTATGATTCGAATGTTGGGGCGTTTCACATTGTCCCAGAGGTCCCTGAGGTTGTCCTCATTTCTTTTGATTCTTTTTTCTTTTTTCCTCTCTGCTTCATTTATTTCCACCATTTTATCTTCTAACTCACTTATCCTATCTTCTGTCTCTGTTATTCTACTCATGGTTTCCTCCAGAGTGTTTTTGATCTCATTTATTTCATTATTAATTTTTAGTTTTTTTTATTTCTTCTAGGTCTTTGTTAAACATTTCTTGCATCTTCTCAATCTTTGTCTCCAGGGTATTTATCTGTAACTCCATTTTGTTTTCAAGATTTTGGATCATTTTTATTATCATTATTCTAAATTCTTTTTCAGGTAGATTCCCTATTTCCTCCTCTTTTGTTTGACTTGGTGGGCTTTTTTCATGTTCCTTTACCTGTTGGGTATTTCTCTGCATTTTCATCTTGTTTAGATTGCTGGGTCTGGAGTGGGCTTTCTGTATTCTTGTGGTCTGTGGTTCCTTTTTATTGTGGAAGTTTCACCCAGTGGGTGGGGTTGGACGATTGTTTTGTCAAGGTTTCCTGGTTAGGGAAGCTTGTGTCAGCGTTCTGGTGCGTGGAATTGGATTTCTTCTCTCTGGAGTGCAATGGAGTGTCCAGTAATGAGTTTTGCGATGGGTCTATGTGTTAGGTGTGACTTTGGACAGCCTGTATGTTGACACTCAGGTCTATGTTCCTGCGTTGCTAAAGAATTTGTGTGGTATGTCTTGTACTGGAGCTTATTGGCTCTTGGGTGGTGGTTGGTTTTGGTGTAGGTATGGAGGCTTTTGGATGGTCTCTTATTCCTTAATGTTCCGTGTAGTCAGGAGTTTTCTGATTTTCTCAGGTTTTGGGCTTAATTCTCCTGCCTCTGGATTTCAGTTTTATTCTTCCAATAGTCTCAAGACTTCTCCAACTATATAGCACTGATAATAAAACTTCTAGGTTAATGGTGAAAAGATTCTCCACCGTGAGAGACAACCAGAGAGGTTCACAGAGTTACATGAAGAATAGGAGAGGGAGGAAGGAGATAGGGGTGAGCAGGAGGAGAAAAAGGGGACTGAAGAGGAGAGAGACAGATCTACGCAGTTATCTGTTCCCAAAGTGTTCTCCGTAGCCCAGACACCCACAAAGATTCACAGAATTGGATTGGGAAGAGAAGGGGAAAGGAGGAAATAGAGGTGTTCTGAGGTAGAAAACAGAGAGTCAAAAGTGGGAGAGTAATCACCACACTCCTGAATAGAAATGGGAACTGAATACTGGATTCTTAAATGTCCAAAATTTATATCACATACTGAAAAACAAAGATTAAAAATCTAGTGTAGAGGTTAGACTCTTTGGAATACAATATTTAAAAACAAAAACAAAAACACACAAAATTTAGGAATGTATATGAAGTTCGGTTTAAAAATAGGGTTTCTCTCTTTTTTTTTGGCAAGGTTATAGTGAAATGAAAATGAAAATTAAGGAATAATAGAGGAGTATTAGAGGACTTTAAAGGGAAATAGGAGAGAAAAACAAGAAAAAGAAAAAAAAAGGAAAAAAAAATTTTTCCCCGAATTAAAAAAATCGTAAAAATATATGAAAATGAAAGTTGAGGAGTAATGGGGGAGTAATAGGGAATTTTAAAAGAAAATAAAAGAGAAAAAATTTTAAAAAAAAGGAAAGAAAAAAAAATTTTTTTTAATTAAAAAAAATATATACATATATATCTAGGAATTTCTCTGGAGTTGTTGCGGTCAGCGTAGGTTCAGTTCAATTTCAGATAGCTCCTCTTTCCAGCTTACACTGCTCGATAGCTGTAGGCCCCTTCCGGTGTAGTCGGTGTTACCTTCAGGGATTTTAATCTGTTGCACCAGTCCTTTCTGAAGCGGTTCCCTTTGTTTATTTGGCTTCTGTTTGCTGTCTCTTCGGTGTCTAATTTCCGCCCTGACACAGGCGGGCGGAGGTGATCTCTTATTTAGGTTCTCTAGTTCAGTTCAGTCCTGCTACGGGGAGGGCGGGGCGCTGCAGACAGATACCGCTCTGTGTGGATAGCACTCACCGTGTTCCGGCCACACTGGGTTTGCCCCGCTCACGGGTGTCAGTGCTTTCCCCGTCTACACTGCTCAGGCTCCCGGGTGCTCTATATGGAGCGGGCCCGGCGTTGAGTGCGGTTCCAGTTTTCGGGTACTCCACAAAAGCACGGATTCGGTTGCGCCTGCGTTTTGTGCCTTCCCCGGCCTGAGCGGTTCAGGCAGCCAGGGGCTTGGGCGCACTCTCCCCGGATGCAGCGCGCCTTTCCCCTCCCCGGCCTGAGCGATTCAGGCAGCCAGGGGCTTGGGCGTACTCTCCCCGGGTGCAGCGCGCCTTTTTCCTCCGTGTCGAGCGGCCCAGGCAGCCAGAGGCTTGGGCGCAATCTCCCCGGGTACCGCGCGCTTTTTCCCTCCGCGGCCCCAGCGCGCGCCGCCAGTCGGGTCTCAGGAAGTCTTTAGATAGGAACCGGGGCCTGTTTGCAGTGTGGGAGGGGGTGGCTTCTCAGGGGCTGAGTTTGCCCTTTTCCCCTCCCCTCTGCCTCCTACCTCCAGCGGGGATGGGCCGGCTCTTCTCTGGAGTTTCTCAGTCCCTTTGTTTTGCGAACCGCCGGCAGTGTGTTCCAGCCGGTTAATTTTGTCCCTTGCTATCCCACAGTTTAAAAAAGCTCCCTCCGATTGCTCTCAGGGTCTTCGGGCCGGTCCTTACCCTAAGCAATGCCGCCCGCTCCTCTCCGTTCCGCCCCCGCTTGTTGCTGGCGGGTGCGGGCGTCTGGGGTACTTTTCTGCTGGGAGTTGCTTTTAGGCACGTAATCTGTGGGCCTTATTTAATTTTCCCTCCCAGTTAGATTGCCGAAAACTTCCCCCAGTCCCGCCAGTGCGAGGGTTTCCTGGTGATTGGAAATTTCCTCTATTAAGTCCCTTCCCGGGACGGGTCTCCGTCCGTAGCTCTTTTGACTCCCTTTTTATCTTTTATATTTTGTCCTACCTCCCTTCGAAGACAATGGGCTGCTTTTCTGGGCGCCTGATGTCCTCTGCTAGCGATCAGAAGTTGTTTTGTGAAATTTGCTCAGCGTTCACATGTTCTTTCCATGAATTTGTAGGGGAGAAAGTGGTCTCCCCATCCTATTCCTCCGCCATCTTGGCTCCTGATCTTTATTGCTTTTTATTTTGGTTCTTGTTCTCTAGTTGGACTTAACCACACTGGTAACCCTTACCCTCATTTCCCTAAGGTTTTATATGAAGTCAGGACTCCGTTTTCAGTCTTTATCTGCAGTGCTGACAGCTTTCCAGACACAGGAAAGACTGGTTCTTAGTTTCCCCTTCCTACCCAGCCTGCTAATGCGGGACAGGTTTTCAAAAAGAGGTGCTTTTCATGAAATGCTATGGCCAAGAGAACCACATCTTCGTTTGATGGTGGCAAAATGGTTAGACACTTGGCATGTTAAAGCCACAGACTATTCGGAATGTAACCCCCATCAGGTCTCCTGCCCCTCTTTGAAGAACGAGGACATTGAGTTAGAAGGTGGCAAGAATCTGGGCCCTGTTGAGTCCTAATCCATCTCACTGCACACTCTTCTTAGTGTAAAGTCTCCTGCCTCTCACACATCAGCAGTGCTGGGTGAAAGGGAGCCCCTGACCAGTATGTTGGAGCAGCTACTAGGGAGAAATTTTACTGTAAAGTTACCTCAAAAACATCTAAAAATGCCTTTATCCATTTTTTTTTTTTTTTTAGGAAGAAGTAAGTCTAATTTGGGCTGGACACCTCTTCACCTGGCATGCTACTTTGGACATAGACAGGTGGTCCAGGATCTGTTAAAGGTATTTTTATGGCTTTGATTTTTCAATAAATAGAAAATATGGCTACTTTGTAAATTATAGAAGTCTTAGGAAAAGCCATTTGGACCATAATGCATAATGGCCTTAGCAATCGCTTATCACTTGATTTTTCTTTGCTAAGTACACAAATTTGATTAGCTTAATTAAAATTCTGGTTTTTTTAGTTGTTTGTTTTTTACATTATTGACTTTTTAAAGTTGCAAAAATAAACATAGGAATTAATGGAGATACTACATTGTTTTTTTGAGCATAGTTTAAAAAAATAGCCAAAGCACATTTTATGTTTTAAAAATAATGTCATAATCTGTTAATGAGCACTGTGTAATTTAAGAACTCGTATTTCTCAGTTCTGTGATGAATAATTTTTCACTCATACTGATATTTCTGAAATTGGATTACATTTTAAAATTAATTTGTTGGCCCCAAATATGAAATCCGGGAGCCAAGGCAGCACTTGAAGCTCCAGTTCCCCCACCATTTACTTTGTGATGTCTGTTTCTTTTTTCCCTTAAGACTTATTAAATTGGTGGAAAAAATATGCTGTTTTATTCAGAGATGGTTTTCCTTTTTTTTTTTTTTAATGTTTGTGTTTCTAAAGTAGAATGAAGGGCAGATAGATTTTTAAACAAAAGAAACTATTTTCTGTTAAGTAGATTTTTCATTTCATGAAACTTACTTTTGAGTTGGTCAAAAGGTTCGTTTGGGTTTTTCCAAACGAACCTTTTGGCCAACTGAGTATATTAATGTGAACTGAGTTCTTTTTTACTAGTGACAACCAGTCACTATTAAGTATTTTAATTTTTTAAAATATTTACTGTATTCTTAGGAAATTATTTTCACCTCTGTATATTTCTTGATATGTGGAAGATGTTTAAAGCTTTCATGTTTACTAGGCTGGTGCAGAAGTAAATGTATTGAATGACATGGGAGACACGCCGCTTCATCGGGCTGCCTTTACAGGACGAAAGGTGAAAAACATTTCATGTTCAGTGTTTTCAAGTGAAATATTTGGAAAATCAGTCACAAATGTTTTCTCCTTTATAGTCCTAGGAATAGCAACTGGGAAAAGCCACAAAAAATGTATATACCAGCACTTTGGGTCAAAAAGACCACAGGCTCTTAGTGACGGACAGTGAGGTCAATTATGAAGGTCATGGGGCTCCACTCTAGTGGCCCTAATAGAAGTTCATTCAGTCTCTACTTGTGTCCCCAGGAATGGGAACTGCTGCACCTTCTTTATCATTTTTTTAAACAGTTTTATTGGGGAATAATTTACACTGCCTGAAACTTACCTGCTGTGAGTATACAGTTAAGTGATTTTTTTGCTACATTTACACAGTTGTGCCACCATGACCACAGTCTGGTTTTGGAATATTTCCATTTGCCACAGAGAGTTTCCTTGCGCCTGTTTGTATTCATTTCTTGTTTCTTGTCAAGCCTCAGACTACCACTGATGTGCTTTCTGTCTCTAGATGTTTGCTTTTTCTAGACATTTCTTGTAAATGGAATCATATCAACATTTGTGTCTAACTTCTTTAGTATGATATAGTTAAGTTTCATCCATGGCATAACGTGTGTCAATAATTTGTTCCTTTTTTGGGCTGAATAACATTCTGTTGTATGCATATACCACATTTTTAAGTCTGTTTTCTGTTTATTGGAAAGACTTTTCCCTCTGTATTGCCTTGACACCTTTTGTGGAAATCAGTTGATCATAAATGGGTTTGTTTCTGGACTTCTGTTCTCTTTGTTTGATCTATATTCTATCCTTACACCAATAACACACTGTCTTATTACAGTAGCTTTGTAATTAAGTTTTGATATTGAGTAGTGTAAGTTCTCCAAACTTTTAATCTTTTAAAAAATTATTTTGGCTGTTCTCAGTCAAAAGTTTGTTTCTATATAAATTTTAGGATTATTCAGTCAATTCTTATAAAAACACCTGATGGGATTTTGATAAAGATTGTATTGTCTTGAACCTATAGATAAAGTTGGGAAGAAATGACAGATTAAAAACACTGTCTTCCAGTCCAAGGATATCAAATGCCTCTCCACTTATCTAGATCTTTAATTTTGCCCAGCAGTGTTTTGAAGTTTTCAGTATAGATCTTGTATTCTTGTGGTTAAATTTATTTCTGTGCATTGTATTTGTTTTGGTGCTATCTTGATGGGGTTTTTCTCAATTTCTTTTTAAATTTCTTATTGCTGCTGTATAGAAAGACAGTTTTAATGTTGTTCTCGTGTTCATGCTGAACTTGCTTTTTAGTGCTAGTATGTTTTTGCAGATCCCATAGTATTTCCTATATACTGGATCATACCATCTGCAGGTAAAGGCAAAGGTACTTCTTGCTCTGCAATCTGGATTCTTTTTTTTCTCTTTGTTTTACTAACTAGATTCTAGTTTAGTGTTGAATACAGTGATAGGAGAAATCTTTGATTATTTTATCTTTGGAAATAGCATCTGGTCTTTAACCAGTAAGAGTGATGTTAGTTGTAAATTTCTCTTAAATGCCTTTCATTAGGTCAGGAAGCTTTCTTCTGTTTCTAGTTTGTTTTTTCTTTTTATCATGAATGGCTATCATGTCTTTTGAAATGATCATGGATTTTTGTTTATTACTCTTAATATGGTGAGCGTGTCCTTACTTGCCCAGTTGTGTCCAACTCTTTGTGACTCCATGAACTGTAGCACATCAGGCCCCTTTGTTTATGGGATTATCCTGGCAAGAATACTGCAGTGGGTTGCCATTTCCTACTCTAGGGAATCTTCCAACCCAGGGATCAAATCCATGACTCCTGCTGTTCCTGCATTGGCAGGCAGATTCTTTACCAGCTGAGCCACCTGGGAAGCCCATTAATGTGGTATATTACATTAAATTGGAGATGTTAAGCCAGCCTTGCATTCCTATATAAATCCCACTTGGTATTGATTAATCATTTTTGTATGTTGCTGGATTCTCTTTTTTGATATTTTCTTAAGGATTTTTTTTGGGTCTGTATTCCTGAGAGATACTACTCTGTAGTTTTCTGTAGATGTGTTTGTCTGGCTTTGGTAACAGCCTCGTAGAATGAGGTGAGAAATGATTTTTCCTCCTCTGCTTACTGAAATAGCTTGTGAAGGATTTGTATTATTCTTCTAAATATTTGATAAAATTCACCAATGAAACCATCTATGCTTGGATTTTCTGTGAGAGAAGATCTTAAATTACCAAATCAATTTAATCATTTAATACAGATCTGTTCAGACATTATGCTTCTTCCTGAGTCAGTTTTGGTTATTTTGTCTTTCTAGGTATTTTCCCTTTTTACCCAAGTTGTCTAATTTGCCTGTGTTAAGTTATTAATAATAGTAATTTATAAATTTTCTTGTGATTTCTTCTTTGATCCACAGGTTAAATAGAAGTATATTGTTTGCCAAATATTTCGAGATTTCCTAAATTTCTATTGTTAATTTCTAATTTAACTTCCCTTATGATCAGATAACTTACTTTATTCTTTGAAGACTATTTTAAATATTTTTAAAATTTATTAGGAATTATTTTCAGTATAGCATTTGATCTATCCTGGAGAATGTTCCTTGAATGCTTGAAAAAATGTCTACTTTGAGACAGAGGCACCTTAGGTTAAATTACTGGTAGGACTGTTGAAATCTCTTATCCTTAACTAATTTGTTTTATCAGATACTGAGAATGTGAGGTATTGGTGTCTGCAACTATAATTCTTGAATTGTGTATTTTTAGTTTTGTCAGGTTTTGCTTCATGAATTTTGTGGCTCTGTTAGATGGATATCCATTTATAGGGGGATTATGTGGGATATGTTATATGGGATATGCATACCTTCATGATGTATTAAACTTTTTATTATTATTTGTGTCTTTCTTTGCCTTCAGTAATATTTCTTACCATAAAGTTACTTTTGTTTTATGTTACTGTAGCCACTCTAGTGCTCTTACAGTTACTAGTTATGTTTTTTCTCCCTTCTTTTACTTTCAACATCTTTGTATCTTTGAATCTACCATGTCTATTGTTGGCAGGATATAACTCAGTTTTGTGTTTTTATCTTCTGAAAATTCCTCCTTTTTGATGTAGTGTTTAGCCCGTTGTTCAGTTGCTCAGTCCTGTCCAACTCTTTTGAGACCCCCATGGACTGCAACTTGCTAGGCTTCCCTGTCCTTTACTATCTCCTGGAGCTTGCTCAAACTCATGTTCATTGAGTCAGTGATGCCATCGAACCATCTCATCCTCTGTTGCCCGCTTCTCTACCTGCCCTCAATCTTTCCCAGCATCAGGGTCTTTTCCAGTGAGTCAGCTTTTTATATCAGATGGCCAAAAAGTATTGGAGCTTCAGCATCAGTCCTTCCAGTGAAGAATTCAGGGTTGAATTCTTTTAGGATTGAGTGGTTTGATCTCCTTGCTGTTGAAGGGGCTCTTAAAGAATTTCCTCCAGCACTACAGTTTGAAAGCATCAGTTCTTTGGCACTCAGCCTTCTTTATGGTCCATCTCTCACATCTGTACATGACTACTGGAAAAACCATAGCTTTGATGATATGGACCTTTGTTTAGTCTATTCACATTTAATCATTAATAACTTTGGACTTACATTTTCTATATTGTATTCTTTTTCTATATGCCTCAAGTTTCTTGTTCCTTTGTTTCTCCTTTATTGCCTTCTCTTGTTTTATACAGATATTCTTTAGTGTATCATTTTATCCCTCTGAATATTAAACTTGTTGGACATATAACAGCAGCTTTATACTTTCTATCTGCTAAATGCAACATTTGCAGATAACACCTCCCTTATGGCAGAAAGCAAAGAGGAACTAAAGAGCCTCTTGATGAAAGTGAAAGGGGAGAGTGAAAAAGCTGGCTTAAAATTCAACATTTAAAAAAATGAAGATCATGGCATCGGGTTCTATCACTTCATGGCAAATAGATGAGGAAACAATGGAAATAGTGATAGACTTTATTTTCTTGGACTCCAAAATCACTGCAGATGGTGACTGCTGCTGCTGCTGCTAAGTCGCTTCAGTCGTGTCCTGCTCTGTGTGACCCCATAGATGGCAGCCCACCAAGCTCCCCTGTCCCTGGGATTCTCCAGGCAAGAACACTGGAGTGGGTTGCCATTTCCTCCTCCAATGCATGAAAGTGAAAAGTGAAAGTGAAGTCGCTCAGTCGTGTCCCATTCTTAGCGACCCCTAGCGACCCCATGGACTGCAGCCTACCAGGCTCCTCTGTCCATGGGATTTAGCAGGCAAGAGTACTGGAGTGGGGTGCCATTGCCTTCTCCGCAGATGGTGACTGCAGCCATGAAATTAAGATGCTTGCTTCTTGGAAGAAAAGCTATGACCAACCTAGACAGCATATTAAGAAGCAGAGACATTACGTTGCCGGCAAAGGTCCATGTCTAGTCAAAGCTGTGGTTTTTCCAGTAGTCATGTATGGATGTGAGAGTTGGACCATAAAGAAGGCTGAGCACCAAAGAATTGCTGCTTTTGAACTGTGGTGCTGGAGAAGACTCTTGAGAGTCCCTTGGAGACAAGGAGATGCAACCAGTCAATCCTAAAGCAAATCAGTCTTGAATATTCACTGGAAGGACTGAAGCTGAAGCTCCAATACTTTGGCCACCTGATGTGAAGAGCTGACTCATTTGAAAAGGCCCTGATGCCGGGAATGATTGAAGGTGGGAGGAGAAGGGGACGACAGAGGTTGAGATGGTTGGATGGCATCACCGACTCAATGGATGTATGTTTGAGCAGGCTTCGGGAGTTGGTGATGGACAGGGAAGCCTGGCGAGTTGCAGTCCATGGGCGTCTCAAAGAGTTGGACAGAACTGAGTGACTGAATTGAACTTAAATTCAACATATGGACCCACTGAAAGTCAGTTTCTACTGCTTTTTTTGAAGTATGGGTCATATTTCCATTTTTTGCATGTTTTACAACTTTTTACCGAAAGCTGAACATTCTATATAA